GTAAAGTTCTATTATTGTTGCAAGTCCAAAGATAGCTCCATGAGGAAAATCTATTTTATTTTAGGCAGTTTAATGATGACTATGCAATAATCTTAAAGAAAAGTGGTATTGGTATCTCATTTATCAGAGTGACTGGGACCAACAACCTTGGACAATCAGCACACTGCAGGCTTGGGGAGGGGCTGGCAGGATACTGAGATATGGGCTCTCAGACTCTGGTCTCTGAAAGGAACATGGAAGGATAGTCTCCCCCCACTCCCCACATTAGGTAAATGTTTTAAATCAAATATTTGTAGGAAGTACATTGTGTGGGGCTGCTAAACTTTCCAAGAGGTGTGTAACGGTCCATGTGTGTAACTAAACAAAAAGCACCACAAAATTAGATTCAAAGGTATTTATTTAGGCCAATTCATATTCATGCTCCATTTGAAACATAAAGCACCAGAGTTTAGATAACAACATTGTCCAAGTATCATCTAGTTGAAGCTGCTGAGCTGTGTGCAGACATGGAGATAGATATCAGTCCCAGATGATATTCACTTGAAGGATGGCGAAGGAACCAAAATAAATACATTGGAGCTGTGGCTGCTAAGAGGCAAATTCCTATTTCGAAGTCTTGGTGAGATGTCTTTCCAGCAATTATCCTGCCCTTTAGAGACCTCAGAAGAATACTATATTACAACTCCTCTCACCATCAGTACATTATAAATCTAGGATATTTTATGGCATTTAAGGTAACTTTCAAATACAGTTTAGCAGTTTCATTTCAGCAAAGATTTAGTTTCCTTAAAAAAAAAAAATCCACAGCAAAACCCCACATTCTTCTGTCCTCCAAGATGAATTGTTCCAGAACAACATTCAACTGAGAAGTAAAGCCCTATGGCTGTGATTATGTTGAGAACTTTATAGTTCCTGATTAGGGTTGATGTCAACAAATGTAAATTAACTGCTGCTGCAAAACAGTTTAATTGCAAGTGTAGACAGGACTACATTATATTCAGCGCAGTTTCAGAAAGTAGCTAGCTGCACCCACTGTCAACATGGCATAACTTTATGTAGATGGAAAGGCTAGACTCTGATCTTAGATACTTGATGAGTAATTCCAACAAGAATTTATATTTTAGGCCAAAACCTCAATGAAGCAAATGATTTAGAGAGATTCTTTGGAAAACACAAAAAATTAAGATTTTTAAAATGTTAAATTTTGTGGAGAAGGTTTGTGGCTATTTTACAAATTGGAAGTTAATGGAAAACGATGTTTAAAAAATGATAGATTCAGTTTTTTATTCCAAAAAATAGTAACAATTTTTCTAAATATTGAACATTGAAAAGAAACAGGAGAACTCCCACAATTTCTAATTATAGTATACATATGCATACTGTATATAGCCACTAAATCTATTTCTTGGATGAACATTCAAAATGCACTCTTTTTAAAAGAAATGTAGGGGCATGTAATAGTTCTAAGAGATTGTTATAAACTACTTTTCAAAAAGATTATTCTTAAGTACAGAGCATTTCAAATTGAGAAACTGAAAGAAAATCAATTCTTAATCTGATGATTTCTTAATTTCCCTTTATAATGGGAAAGAATGACTAATATTTTATAGCCAGCCTCGTCTCATCTGATACTGTTCCTGTGGACACTCAAGTCTATTGAATGAAAACAGGCATGTGTGCTCAAGCAAAATGGCAGAGGTTTTTGTGCTCTGATTAGCAGCTGCCAATGAGATGAATCTGTTCTTTTAATCTCTAAATTTGCACTAAAAGAATCCCACATTGGAAACAGGAAGGTGGCTATTTCACAGCATGGAGAAAAAAAAAACCCAAAAAACTGACAACCAGTTCTTCACATTGTAAAGTATATGCACATTTTCCTTTACAAAAATAAACAAACTGTACACAGAACAGAAGCTATATATAAATTAACATAATACCAACCAGCTCTAAGCCGCATATACTATAGAAATTACACTTTAACCTCCATAGTCTGGGTGTCCCTAATTCAGGAGCACCTGTGGTATGGACCTTGACAGGTAGAAGCAGCTCCTGCCCCCCCCCCCGCCCCCCCCGCCAGCTGGGTGAGGGCTGTGCTGCCATGCGCTCTGCTCGAAGTTTTCCCCTGCAGCTCCACTAGGAGCGAGAGGTGGTGCCCGGCAGCAGCGGGGGACATGAAGCACCAGGTAAGTGCCCCATCTCCATTCCTTTCACTCCCTTCCCAGCCCGGCAAAACATGTAATCCAACAAATTCTGGCAAAGAGGTTAGAGCGTACATGTAGATGCTAACTTAAAACAATAAAGCTTAGTTACAATGTAATTCCATTAAAGGATTCTGGAGATATCAGACTAGCTCAAAAAGTGGAAACTGAAGGGGTCATGTTGCTTTCAAGTACTGAAGATGTTCACAAGCTTCCTGCCAACCCAGGGATCATTCTTTGACAGAATTAAAAAAAAAAACAAAAACCACTACCCATAAAAAAAATATATATATATTTTTTTGGATATGTAGGTTTTCCACGATCTCCTTGCTGTGCCAACCCCCCTGCCTAGCACAGAAGTAGAGTTTGCTAGCTGTTCAGTTATTGCATCAAATGTAACATTTTATTTTATTTAAAAAAAAACAAACCTTAAGACTTACTCTGCATGCAGGTAGCCATACAAGTCACATCCACATGCACTTTGCACTGAAATAAATTATTAAAGGAGGCATGGATGAAACCTGCAACCGCATCAACAGGTTTGTTTCCAGCAAATCTACATATTTCAGGCCCTTTCTTTTTTCCCTCACCTCGTTTCGAACTTGCTCCTGTTTAAGTCAATGCCAAAAATTCACATTTGCCTCCAACAGGCATATGATTAACTCTGTTCGGGTACATCCACAGTGCACGCTTATTTTGAAATTAGTTATTCTGGAAGAAATACTCAGAAATAGCTTATTTCAAAATAGCACGTCTACACTACAGGAAAGCCTTAAAGTCTGAGGCAGCCTTCCCTAATGTGGATGTGCTACCTCGATTTAGAGCCTCAAGAGGCACTGGGGAGTAATTACTCTGAATGGTCCTGGGGAGGAGCTGTTTCAAAATAGCAGAAGTGAAACATCCACACTACTGCTATTCTGAAATAGCTATTATTTCAGGCATTATCGCTCGTGGAATGAGGTTTACAGAGTCGGAATAAGCCATCCGTTATTTCAAAATAATGGAAACGCTGATGTGTAGATGCCCCCTTAAATAATTTAAAAAAAAAGAAAAGAAAAAGATTGGACGCATTGAATGCCTCTTCTCCTACATTCCAAGGGTAGATCCTGATTTCAATATATTCCAGTGAGATCATATATTATCAGCTTTTTGGACACACAAGGACAGTAACTGATATTAAGAAATCCACAAGATTTGCATTTCTCTATTTCCTGAGATGATAAACCCTATCCATATTTTCTCAATAAAACATGAAAGCTAAAGTCCTTCCAGTTTTCAGAGAGCTACTGACTCAAAACAAGCAGCAAAAACTGCTATGAAAACAATTAGAAGCCTTGTAATGGTTGGAATTTCACATCGCATCCTTAATCACCCCTTGCTTCCCAAACTGTGAGGTCATAGAGAAGGTTACATTCACCAGACAATTTTTTTAAAGATGATGGTTAAAGAAGCAGCCATATAACATACATAAAAATGCCCACAAATTAGCACTACCAGTTTACATTATATTCTTATTACATTATATTCTTAATGTTCCAAAATTAAGTTTTTTGTTAGAGACACTCAACACATTTATCTGGTCTCCAATAGAGATCTGTCGGTGTTACAGAAAGAGTATTCAATCTGGCACAATGTGTATTCAGAGCTATCCAGAAATGAAATAGCAGAGGTGCTATAAATCAGGACTGAGGCCTAGCACATAACTAATGTAGGATGGAGACAACAGGCATGATGTTACCATGTGCCCTGCATTCACATGGAGTCACCATGTTTCTCTTTCATAAAGAAGTCAGACAAAAAAATAAAAATTACAGAAAAGATGGACTCACAATGCAAGTTTCTGAAGAGAGAGATTAACCAGGTTTAACCCTTTGTGCAAACCAGTCTGTTTGTAATAACTCAATGAAAGAACGAAGGACGAGAGGACTGTGTCACAGGTTGAACCTCTCTAGACTAGCACCTTTGCGATCTGATCGGTTTTGAACCAGAGAATTTGGCCAAACCACAGGAGGTCAATATTGTCTAGCAGCCTTACTAACACTTCAACAACTTACTGGGTTCTTAGAAGACATTTAGGAGTAAATTAGAGCTAAATAACAGCACAAACCCAGGACTGGGGTCTGCAAACAAACATTATGGGACCGTAGAAATCTTGGATACACCCATGATAAGTGGGCATCAAGCTAACTAAAACCATGGATGTTGCTGTACCAGAAAGTGCAGGGCTAGAGAAGTTCAATCTGTACAATTATTTAGTATTAAAAACCATATATATTCCATTTATACTAGAATGTTCTCCCTTGTGATTAGCGTGTCAGTAGGAAGCTGGCTGCCAATGTTTTGGTAGCTGAATAAACCTTTTTATTGTCTAGGGATGGAAGAGGTTAATTACATGTTTTGTTTACATTTGTCATCCGTCACTGAGAAAAATAATCATTTTTTGGTTAAAGCAAAAACAAAAAAAAACAAAAAAAAAAAAAACAGAGTTCTTAATTATGTTTAAATAATACAACAATTCTAGGTAGGGTGACTGTTCTTCCTGGAGAAAAGAATCACATACACAAGGATTACAATAGCTCCTGGTTGAGCGCTCCAATTCTGTAAAAGTGGTGAGAACTCACAACCTGCATTAACTTCACTCGGACACATGGATATTGTATACCTACAAGGTGCTCACCATATCTTGCAAGATCAGACCGTAACTAAACAAGTCCCAAACACAGAAGAGGTAAAGCACAGTAGAGTCTAACAGACCCTGTATGGAACCAAGGCATTCAAAATAATAATAAAAAAGAACAATGGTTCTTTGTGGAAAGTAAGTAATATTCCACAATTCAGAAAGTGTATTGATTTTACACTTGGCTAGTGCGTAGCATCCCCAATTGCATAGAATGTTTCCAGCGCTGAGTTTATAACTAACCTATGCAAGTTTTTTCATATTTCGTGAGCCTGATTGGTCACCACTTGATATCCATGCTGCTTGCTGTTTGATTTACTGCACAGTATTTGGTGTGCAGAGTTTCCTGAACCTTCTTGGAGTCCAGCCCTTCCAGCCAGTCCTGGTACAGCTTTTGCACATGCATGCTGGTTTCTGGAAGCCTGACAGGAATTGCAGCATACATTTCCTCCATCTGGCTGAGCAACACTTTGTCTGGTTTTCCATCTTCAGTCTGGGCTTGGCCTTTTCCATTTAAACACCCTAAAAATATAACACCACAGCCGGGAGGTAAGAACATAAGAACGGCTATACTGAGTCAGACCAAAGGTCCATCTAGCCAAATAACCTCTTTTCAGATAGTGGCCAAGGCCAGCTGCCCCTAAGGGAATGAACAGAACAGGTGATCCATCCCTCTATAGCTCATTTCCAGGTTCTGTCAAAAAGGCTAGGGACACCATTCCTGCACATCCAGGACCTATGGACATATTCTCCATGAATTTATCTACCTCTTTTTTGAATCCTGTTATAGTCCTGGACTTCACAACATCCTCTGGAAAGGAGTTCCACAAGTTGACTGTGTATTGTGTGAAGTGTATGCAACAATCCTTTTGTTGGTTTTAAACTTATTAATTTCATTTGGCGACCCCTAGCTCTCTTCTTTATTCACTTTTTGCACACCAGTCCTGATTTTACAGACCTCTATCATTTCTCACCTTCGTCATCTATTTCCTAAGGTGAAAAGTCACAGTTTTAATCTCTTCTCATAGCAGCTGTTCCATACCTCTAATCATTGTTGTTACTCTTTTCTGAACTTTTTCCATGCCAAGATATGTTTGAGATGAAGAAACCACATCTGCACACGGTATTCAATATGTGAGCGTACCATGGATTTATATAGAGGCATTAAGATGCTCTCACAGAGAATATCTACACAGCAGTGTTATTCTGTTATTCTGAAGTAACATAGTCTGTGTCTACACTACAAGCAGTTATTTTGACATTATGTCAAAATAATATCGAGCTGGAGGACTTTACTCCAAATCCTGTAACCTTCATTTTATGAAGGGTAAGGGAAGTCTGGAGAGTGCTCTTTCATGGACTTTCTGCTGTGCAGATAGCACCAAAAGCCGAAATAAGCTTTTATTTCGGGATGTGAAGGACTAATCGACTACCCAAAAGGCAAATGGGTTTAGCCCTGATGTGCAGAGGTGCCCTGTCTTATTCTCTATCCCTTTCTTAATCCACAATGACTCCAGGATCTCTCTCTTGAATGGTAAAAGCTAATTTAGTCCCCATCATATTATACGTATAGTTGGGATTATGTTTTCCAATATGCATTACTTTGCATTTATCAAGATTAAAACTGATCTGTCATTCTGTTGCTCATCATTTAATTTTATGAGAGCCTTTTGAAGCTCTTCACAATCTACTTTGGAGTTAACTAGGTTGAGCAGTTTAGTATCATCTGTGAATGTTGCCACCTCACTGTTAATCCCTTTCTCCAGATCATTTATGAATATATTGAATATGACTGGTTCCAATACGGATCCCTGGGGGGTACCACTAATTATCTCAATCCATTCTGAAAACTGATAGGATTATAGTTTGTTTAGGGATAAACTATATTGTATCTAACTCTGGATTTACAGTTTTCTTCTGTTAAACAAAAAGCATGGCAACTGCTTTTTGAGATCAGAAGCCCCATTGATGCTGCTAAAAGTCGCTGTTGACCTTTAAAATAATTCTATCAGCAGTAAGTGTCCTAACTTGATGGGGTTTCCATATGAACAATCTCTTTTCCCTCCTTCCCTTCTTTCTTCCCCAGCTAAATCCCACATTCTTCTCTTGCTCTCAACTCTGTATTTCAGTGGCCTTTCCTTGAAACGCAGTATAGTCACAAAAGGACAACCCCTCAGCACTCTGGGCTATCTGCTTACAGATCACCCAGCAGAAAACAAATACTTTCCCTCTCATTTTGGGCTACTAAATAAATGGAATTGACTCGGAGAAAGACTAAGCGGGAGTGTTTTATTTTGAACCATTCAGATTTTATGGTGGAGTTGTAAAAATTAAAACAAGGATCAGTTCACTTTGGAACCTTCCCACAGCACTCAAACAGAAAAAAGTCACCAAGGATCTAGTATGATTCTTACCTCCAGGGCAGGCAAGAACCTCCACAAAATGGTACAAGAACTTTCCCTTTTTCAGCTTTAGGACCACATTCTGGATGTTCCTAAAGCCATATGCAGCTGCGAAGCGCAACACTGTCTCACCGTCCTTTTCCAGTGTGACTTCCTGAAAGTCCTTGTTTCTGTAAACAGAGTTGGAAAAAATTCAAAATCCTTAGATCCCTTTGGGATTACGAATAGGATGACAAGCATTTCAGTACGTGCTCACAGAGCTCAGATGAGAGAAGGCAAAAAGGATAATCTGAGAATGAACAAGCTGGGCTTCTAGCTCCTATGTGTTGTGGGTCAAATAAAAGTCAGGGTGGAGCTCAGAGAACAAACGTTTATTTCATCGTCAAAAGAGAAGCATTATTAATAAAGCAACGGGTAAGTAAAAACAGGCTACGTCTACACTGCAGGCTTCTTGCACAAGAACTGTTTTGCGCATGAGTTTCTACGCAAAAAATTCTTGCACAAGAGTGCATCCACATTGCCATGTGCTTTTGCGTAAGAGGGTCCATGGCAGTGTGGACGCTCTCTTGCGCAAGAAAGCTCTGATGGCCATTTTAGAGAAGGGTGAATATAAAGAGCTTGTATCCCTGAGAGGGCTCGAAAAGGTGTCTTTCATTGTGTTTCGCTATTGATGTACTTGAGACTGGGGGGGGGGAGGGGTGTCTTCCACAAGGTTTTATTTTTTTCCCTTACTGAAGTAATCAAATGGTACCGCTACCCTGGAAAGACCAGCAGGAGCCAAAATGTCCACCATGGGATCTGACTCCCCTGTCTCTTCCTCCTCCTTAATGGCCAAACCCTGGGCCACTATGGAGTAGCTGTTGTAGGACTCATGTCCTCCAGAGCTGTTGTCACTGCCATGCCAGCAAACACCTCATCAGGTGATGAAGGAGGATAATGCTAGACTGGGCTGTGCTCCTCCATCTCGACCCACACACTGCCGGCGGTCCCTACAGTCTGGTGAAGAGGGAAGAGTTGATGTTGTTGGTCCTCTGAGACCTCTGATGCCTGGGAAGTTGAGTGCGCCTGCATCGGGTAAAGAGCACACGAAGGCACTGCTGATGCTGTTTCTGGTGGCACTGGTGCCATGTCTATGGCTCGGGCAGAGGTAACAGCGTTGAAGGAGTTGGCAGGGCAGGACCTCCTGTCAGTGCCAGAGCAGAGATTGGGTTCGGTGCCTGGGACAGTGCCAGTCTGGACGGTGTCAGAGTAGGTGCTATAGCCATGGGATGCGGAGCTGTAGAAGAAGGAACAAAAATTTGGCGAAGGCCATGAAGATGGTGCTGAGTGATGCCCTGGGAGTCCCTGTTCAGCTTGATGAAACACCCAGGGGATCCAGAAGGCCGCTGAGGCCATGGCACCTGTTGCTATTGGTGGCAGTCTCTTCTAGATTAAGACCTCTTGCTGGAGCTCCTCCTGGAATAGTAAACTCAAATTCTGAACCAGAGGTCTCAGAGAGGAGCTGAGCTTCTAGGTGCCGACCTATGGGAGCTCAGCAATCGGCTGGGCTGTCTGGCAGGAAGCGATGGTGCCTGGGGGGTTGGCAAATGAGATCGTCAAGACATCATCACAGCTTTCCCCTGGATTGCACCCGAGGATGGGTTGGTGCCGTGACTGTTGGGGACTTGTCTGTTTCCTCTAGGTGGGGAGAAAGATGCATTAAGTTGCCTGCTGCGTCAAACGCCTCTGGCGTCGAGGCAAGTGGTAGGGACTGGTCTGCTGGAGCCAGAGATCCCTGAAGCTGTGGACTCAACCTCCCTTCTCAGGTAGGGGTCGACTCCCCTCTCTGTGGGGACTTGGTTGAGTGGCTCTCTTGGGGTTGCACTTCTCTGGACTGTGAGAAAATCCTGCCATCAGGCTTCTTCCCTTTCTGAGGCACCAGAGAGCATGAAAGGTGCCTTTCAGATGTGCCTGTCAAAGATCAACGATGGTGCCGAGAAGTGTCCTTCAGTGCCGAGGCAGAGGACAGTGCTGGAGCACTCTGTGCTGAAGAGGTGCTTATCATCCCCCAGTCCCAGGTCAGACTGCAGGTGCAAAGGGGCCTTCATTAGGAGAACTTTGAGCCACTGTTCTGTGTCCTTCAGTGTTCTGGGATGGAATTCGCAGCAAACAAGGCAGTGATCTTTCTGATGACCCTCACCAATGCAGGAGGAGTGACATGCACTTGGCACAGGCCTGACAATTTTTAAACCCTGGAGAACGTAGCATGGCACGATTCCAGGGATTCTAAAGAAACAGAGTGGGGAGGAAACCTCCCCACAGACACTAACTATAAATAAAATTATATACAGAAATACTAAGTAAACGAATACTAAAAACAATATATACTTGTGACGGGGTGCCGGTCCCTCCCGCCCCGGGACCTACGGCCCCCCGCACTCCTAAGCCCGCGAGGGGCAAAGGAAACGCTGGCGGGAGCCAGAGATGCAACCGCTCGTGGGCGGCACCCCGGCATAGGTGCCCCGCCTGTATGGGGATAGCCAGAGAAGGAGATGTCACCCGGAGGGGCCTCCCCTCCGTGGGTGACATCATCAATGGGCGCCCGGGCATGGAGGGTGGGGCCCAGGAAGGCGGCCCCTTCAAAGGCTGTCTGGGGAGAGAGGAAGGGGAGGTAGGCACTCGGGCCAGGGAAGAGGGGCCTGAGGCGGAGGAAGCAGCAAGCAGTGGCTACGAGAACGGAGGAGCTCACCGCAGAAGTGACCGGCTCAGCGAGGAGGAGGAAGCGACCCAGGACGGGGACGGCAGGCAGCAATGGTGCCTTCACTGGATCCCGTGGGTTGGTGAGTTACGGGGGAGCCCCCACCAACCAACCTGTGGCCGTGCGCTGCTGCCTTTAGGGTCCTGGGTCGGGACTTGGACCGAGGGTGGGCCCGAGTCCCCCTCCTCCCTTGCGGTCGTCCCATAGCGCCCAGGAAGACCGGGACTCAAGGGGCTCTTAAACGGGCCTCTGACCTTTTTTCTTCATTTTTGTCGGGGTGGACGGGCTGAGTACGGTAGGGAGACACGGGTGAGGGGCGGAACACGGGCAGGTAATCCCAATGATGACAGGGCTCTAAGCCTGAGGGACGACCTGCCCCGTGACAATACTAAAGAGCTAGGAGAAATGGCACTTGTGCAATCGAGAACTATGGAATGTTCCAGCCTATTGTCACTGGCAGTAAGAAGAACTGAGTAGGGGGAAGGTCGGCAGGGCTCTATATTTGGTGCCAAGTAGGCGTGACTCCAGGGGGCACCCAGACCCACCCAATGGACGCTGATATGAGAAAATCTTCTGGCCACCATGTGTGCATGCACACACCTAAATGGAAAACACACAAACAAGAACTCGAAGAATAGCAGTGATTTTCCAGTGATGAACTTAGAGGTAGCTTATTAAGGATGATAGCAAAACGGGTGATTTTGATATACTGAATACATAGTTACTGCACTGACATTCATGTTATCCAATGTTACTAATACAAAGATCCAAAATCCAACTTACTTTAAAGTTTTGTAAGTGATTTCCTTGACATCCATATCAAAGAGCTCCTTGGCAGCATGTTTAAAGATGTGCTCTAGGTACCCATCAGATCTCCTCCCATCATGCCGTACTATGTCTTCCTCCTTTATTTCACCAAACCTTTGAAAATGGACAAAAAGGAGGGAGAAAGAAGCTCAGAATTTGATAATTTCATGAAAATGAATTGTTTTTCTCTCTCATTACATTTTTTGTCAGAGGAAAAAAATCGTTAGTAGAAATTAACTTGTCCAACTTGCGTTTTGAGATATTGGTAAGTGAAAAGAGCAGCAAAGAAAAAAAAAAAAGAGTAGGGGAATTTTTTTAGCTTAAATTTGAAGCATTTAACAAAATTTATTCATATACAGGCAGTCCCTGGGTTATGTACAAGATAGGGACTGTAGGTTTGTTCTTAAGTTGAATCTGTATGTAAGTCGGAACTGGCGTCCAGATTCATTTCACAAGGAGTAACGGTAGTTTGAACTAGGAAGCCTAGTTCGAACTACCTAGTTCGTGCCCCGTGTAGCTACGCTGCACGGGGTTCGAACCAGCGGGGTTTTAAAAATGGCGGCTCCCCGCTTATGCAAATGAAGCCTGGGAAATTCAAATCCCGGGCTTCATTTGCAAGTGCGGTATGCCTACATTACCCCGCTAGTTCGAACTAGCAGAGTAGTATAGACATACCCTGGGCTACATGAGTGGCCCTCCTTCCTCTCAGTGAGCCACAAGATCATTGTAACTAAGACATGGAAACATACGCAACCCACTTTGGGGTCCTGACTCACAGTTTGAGAATCATTTCTGACTGCATCAGATTATGTTACTGTGATGGGCAGAGGGAGAGATGGCCAGCATTTGGTGATCAAAGGTAGATTGGGGGTGTTTTTAAGCTGTAGTCCAGAGATACCATTTTCTTTGTTTTAATCTGTTCTTTCCACAGCAGCTCTAAAACCTAGCAACCAGAGACCCTCAATTTTTCTGTTTGCCATATGTGCTCCCCATCCCATGAGAGAGACATCTGTGGTGTCAGGCTCTGGGGGTTACGAAGGGAATCTGGGACAACAAAGGGAATTCCTGTGGTTTTGCCTTTGGTGTCAGTAAATGTACTGTGGGCACCTTGGCCTGGGATACAGCTGATATATGACCGAAATGTGGCTCTGGAGTCCTTCATAGTATAAAGAACCTCATTGGTCTTAATGAAGGAGAGTTTCTTCCCCCTCAAAAGGAAGGCCTTCTGCAGTTGATTGTATCTCACGTGGAAAAGCTGCTGAGTTGAACCACATGGCTTGTCTCATGACAACTGTGGTGGCTGTGGATCTTGTAGCTGTCTCTGCAGCGTTGAGAGCTGCTTCTCAAGATTGCATGTCCTTCTGCAATTACCACCTTAAATTGCTGCTTTTTTGCCTCTGGGATATCTTCAATAAAAGTTTTGAACTTTGAGTAATTGTTGTAGTCGTATTTACTGAGTAACTCTGCATGGTTTGCTACTCTAAACTGTAGCGTCGATGTACACTTTTCTCCCAACAGAGGTCTAAGTCTCTCACTATGAGCCAGGGTGGAGCGAGTTTGCTGTTGCTTATTTCTTTGGTGGGAGGGTGCGTAAAGAGGAATTCAGAGCCTTTGGGAGGAACGTATTACTTCCTATCTGCCAGCTTACATGTGGGTGGAATAGTAGTCAGTATCCGCCAGACTGCCTTAGCAGGATCCATTATCGTGGGGGGAGGGATAGCTCTGTGGTTTGAGCATTGGCCTGCTAAACCCAGGGATGTGAGTTCAATCTTTGCAGAGGGGATTTGGGGCAAAATTTTGTCAGGGATGGTACTTGGTCCTGCTGTGAAGATAGGGGACTGGACTAGATGACCTTTCAAGGTCCCTTCCAGTTCTAGGAGATAGGCAATCTCCATTAATTTATAGGCAGCATGATTTTAGCTGATGGAGTGGTTTGGAGGATGTCAGTGAGTTAGTGTTGACTCTCTGATCTTCAGCATGGCGATATGGAGGTAAGCTGCTACCCTTTTAAAAAGGTCTTGGAAAGTCATAAAATCATCAGCCGCCACTGGTGGTGGTGGCATCACTGCCTCATCAGGGACAATGATGAATTAGTATCAAGGGATGTACATGGACCTGCTTGCTGAGATTGTGGATCCTAAGCTGCCTCCTCCTAGCGAGGTGGGGAGAGGGAGCGGCGCTGCTTATTGCGTTTTCGCTTGTAGTTGTAAGCCCATGGGCTCCAGTATTGCCAGTGTGCCATCTACAGGATCTATTGACAGTACGTGAAGAGAACTGCTGATCTCCATCTTAAGCTGGGGACAAGTAAGAAGGAACTGAAGGGAGGGGGGCCACGCATGTGTGGTCGCAGCACACTGGATACACATGGCTCCCTGGGCACTGCTGTGAAGGCTCCAGGCGACAGCGCTGGGATGCACCGACACCTGCTGTGGAGCACCCACAGGGACATCTCTCGAAGAAGCATGGCATCACTATTGTGAGAAAAATGTGTTTTTGACAGCAGTCCCAGCCTATTGGCTGCTTTGGGGATAATAAGTTCATCACCCTGCTCTCACTTTTAATGGTCTACCTTGCACTTCTCCCTGAGCATCCCAGTGTGACCTGTGCTGGGACACTTCCTTTGTGTTATATGGATGGTGCACTCTGCTGGTAGCAGCTGCCTGAGCCCTTACATTCAACCAGAAACCAAAAGGCAAGAACTGTTAATGCAAAATAATATACACAACATTTAACTTAAATAACCAAGAAAAATTGGGATTTTATTCCTAAAATAGATTTAACAAGGGAGGACCAGACTTCTAGTATGTCTACCTACTCTGAGCCAGACCATTAATGGTAGATTTATTTAATTGCTGGTGATTTTAGTTGTTACTAGCTGTGGTTTTGTTTGGTGGAAGTGTGTCCTGTATCTGCCTAACTTCTATTTATGTTAATGTTCTCTAGTTAACAGCATAATTATGAGAATTACAACTGAAGTCATTTAAGATTAAAAAGTAACTTGAACTAAAAATCAGTGATTGTTTAATTTTGTTTAATGTTAACAGTAACATGCCATTAGAGAAGCTTTTGTTTTTATTCCTATTCCTCTGAAGATCTGCTTTTACCCATGGTGATTTTTCACCCTTCAAGGGTAAAGATTTGCGATCAGTTCTTATAGCCTGATTCCAGGGCAGGATTAAGGGGGGAGGTAGCCGGGCAGCTGCCCGGGGTGCCAACCTATGGGGGGGCGCCTGATGGCAGCTGTAAGGGGCACCGTAAAGGGGGGGGGGGGTAGCCGGGCAGCTGCCCAGGGTGCCAACCTATTGGGGGCGCCTGATGGCAGCTGTAAGGTGTGCAGTGTGCCGGGGGGCGGGGCCGTGCATGTGTCGCGCGCCCGCTGCCTGGGGTGCAGGAATGGCTCGAGCCAGCCCTGCCTGATTCAATACTGGGGCAGGCCACACCCCCACCCCACCCACTGCCTCTTTCCCCAAACCCCTCCCCTGAGCAACATATACCAGGGTGCTTGGTGCGGAGCAGCAGCAGGCGTCAGGCCCTCCCAGTGCACTTACCACAGTGACGGGAGCCGGAGCAATCAAGCAGCCTGCTCTGGTCCACCCCACGGCACATTGCTTCCCACTGCCATGGTGAAGCAGAGCGTCCTGGTCCCAGCCCCAACCTGTTCCCCCAAGTGATGAACTTTTGGGGGAGTGGGCTGGGGCTAGGCACGTCGCTTCTCGCTGCCGTGGTGAAGTGGAGGCGCAACGGGCTGGGAGATGGGTGGCAGGGTGGAGCGGAGCAGGCTACTGGGTTGTAGTGGCTCCCACCCCCATGGTAAATGCAGGAGGGCCGGACTCCTGCTGCTCCCGTGTCAGGTCCCCAGTAATTCCCTGGGCAGTCTTGAGACCCCTGCGTCCCATCCTTAGGATGGTTGAGGGGGCCGCAATGGGGCCCCCCAAAGCACGGGGCCTGGGGCAGCCTCCCTGAACCACTGGAAGAACAAATTCAAAGGGAATTAATAGTTACCATTCCACAGGTTCAGTTATAAAAAAGAGTTAACACAGAGTTACATAAGTTATAAGTGGTTAAAAAGGTATAGATGTGGGCATCCAAACACTCCATAATAACACTAACACGTGTCATCCGTTCAATGGAATCCAGAATCTCATCACTTTCTACAGATCTAATACTATTGCACAAAAATACAAATAAAAGCACTTTCCTTTTTGTAATCAAACACTGAAGATGGTTGAACATACAATCTTGGCACAGCACAATTCTTTTAAATTAGGCTTTAAAAAAAATTAAAAAGGAATTCATTTAGGAAGGGGCATCTATTTTAGTTGATTGGCTTTGTATTAGTACAAAACCATATCCAGTAAACAGGGCTATCTGTTGTATTTTACCATGTCATGCACTGGGAGACACAAGAGGTGCATATGAATAGGTGTCAGTGGAGTCAGATCTTGGTGCATGCTGACTTTCTTTTTTTAATAGCTTGTTTGTTAAAGAAAGCACTACATGGGCAGTGACTACGATGTATGGCAAACCATTATTTGTCCACTGGTGCAATGACAATAGCCCACAAAGAAAGCTACTTACAAACTGTCTACAGCCACTTCAGCCACTTCTTTCATAGATATATTTTTCTGCTCCATTATTTGGACAATTTCACCTGTAGAGAGATGCAGGACGTTTTTTCTTAAACACAAATCAAAGTACACACATGGTTTCTCTCTTCAAGAAGGAAGTATGCCAAGAGAGACAGGCAGAGCAAAAACACCTGACATTATAGAATGAAGCCATGAATAAATCTTGCATGAAAAAAGGTTTTACTGTGACTATTTTTTGTATCCTTCTAGCTGTAAGCCCTTAGTGACACAAACCCTGAGAACAGACACATAAGGGAAAAGGATGTACTGGTTGCACCGCTATAAAAAGCGGAACTCTCTGGTCCAGCAACAGGATCAGGGTGACCTGGCGTGCTGTGGGGAGGCTGGGAACTTGGCGTGATTCAGGGGGAGGGGTGGAAGGGCTGTGACTATTTTTTGTATCCTTCTAGCTGTAAGCCCTTAGTGACACAAACCCTGAGAACAGACACATAAGGGAAAAGGATGTACTGGTTGCACCGCTATAAAAAGCGGAACTCTCTGGTCCAGCAACAGGATCAGGGTGACCTGGCGTGCTGTGGGGAGGCTGGGAACTTGGCGTGATTCAGGGGGAGGGGTGGAAGGGCAGATGCGTGGCTGAGCTTTGCTGCCGGAGGTGGTGGTGGGGGGG